TTATACATATATATATATATATATATATATATATTGTATATATATATATATACTTTTATATATATATATATATAATTAAGATATTGTAATATTATAATACAATATCTTGTTATCTTATTCCATGGTGCCACATAAGTCGTGCGATTGAAACACCAATTTGATCTGTTAAATCTGCCGCAACTGTTTCACATTTCCGTCACCATCTGTGTAGTCATAAATAAATTTAAGAAAAAAAAAATTCAATTGTACCTCTTTCTTAGTTTAACAATGTCTGTCAAATATAACATAATATCGAATAATAAAAATACAAGATTACATGCAATTATATTAGGAAAAAATTACTATCACGCTGATGAAAAAGAAAAACAACCGACGCATTCATGAACAGGTCACACTTATCTACTCGTATTTAAACACTAAAATCCCGAATTCAAAGTTACACGGGCGCGACTCAATGCTTCGTTCGCACATGACGATCCAGATTGCTCTTCTGTGAAAATCGGCCCCTGCAGATGGGGCAGATGAACTTCGGCTCCACGCCGCACTCATACTTCTGATGTCGCCACAGCGATGTAAAGAAGGCGTAGACGCGATTGCACTGCGGGCATACGTGTTTCTTTCTGAGCTTCTTCTTCTCGTATTCCTCGGATGATTGTCGCTCATACGGCTGCCGACCCTTGTTGCATTCGAACGCTTTGTGCCGCATCAACGAGGCCTTCAGGGCAAAGGTCCGGTTGCAATCATTGCAGAGATACTTACGAGGACCTGTTCCTCCGTTTCTACCATCGTCATTAGTGGTCATCGAACGTAGCCGCCTAGTGTACATGGCGATGCGCGAGGTAGATGGCAACGTGGGTATCGTCCAGTTGGCTGAACTGTAGGCTGCACCTGCGAAGCAAGAGGAGTAGAGATGTAGCCCGGCATCGGCACTGAGGTTCGGGTTTGAAATCTGCACGCGCGACGAGCCGATCGAATTAATGATAGCGGCTGATGCGGATGCGACGCGCAACATACATGTATGTATACTCACGGCGATTGGAATTCACATACGATTAGAATTCCCAATCAAAGATATGGTTTACACAGGTTGGGCAGGACAGGATACACGAGTTTCATTCGTATAAAACACGTGTATGCCCGGTATAGAGAAAGAAGCGAAAAACGAGAAGGGAATTTGTTTTATTTTAGGTTGATTTCGGGAATATCAAACTTTATTCATCGAAGACATGCGTGTTCTCCGTGAATGTACATAGTAATATGCGTATTCATCAATCAACATACATACTTCGTCACGATTAAAGGATACTATACAATAGTCGTTCGTAAAGTACATTCGCGCGATCGTGACTAACAAACATCTACCTTACATTACGGCGCGGTGGAACTTTGGTATCGAACTTCTGAAATTGTTCTCTTCTGATATACAAATTAGGACATACATTTAAGTTAAAACTTAACACATTTCGCCTCGTGCTCGCCTTAGTCGTTCGACGCTGGTGCCTATGTAGTTGAAAAGATCGACACAGGATATCGATCATGTAATTTCACCTTTCACTCTTCACCACTCTACCAATTCCACTTTTTGACTATTCGCACGATCATGTAACTCTGAACATATGAAAAGTAAAAATCACTGAACATGATTAATGATATAATATCGGAAAGGCAAGCCAGTCGTTAGAACATATAACCTCAAAAATAACGCCATAATCTTCGAAACTTTACGTTCCTTGTATCTTAGTGCAGTAGTAACGTTATATTCTGAATCAGTCATGTCACTAGATCTTCATTTTACCGCCAGCAAGTTCGACGGCGAAGAAGTTCACGTTTTCACGCTTCGCCAAATTACGTGGTTGTGAGTTCACATGAGAAAATTCTTCACTTTTTCCACGTTTCTTTCCTAGGGGAAAAGTTACGTGATCGATACCCAGATACTCGAGTTCTGTTATATAATTAAATTAAACGATCGTCTAACGTGCGTATCGATACGATATTCGGATTGCTTCAGTAAATTTACATAGATAAGTATTACATTTACCACGGGATAGAAAGCGAAGCTTTAAGCGACCACATAGTAGCGCCATTACAGATTTTGCGTGAAATCATGGTACGCACTGAACATGGTTCCTTGCGCATGAAGACTCGCGTCGTTGTCGGTTTGATTCTCGAACGGCTGTTGATGAGCGCTGTATTGCGAATTCTGTTCAAGGAGATGCTGATGACGCGCCAGGATGTGCTTCATCAGGCTGTCCTTATACCGGGTCCTGTGAGGGCAAAAGGCGCACTTGAACTTCGGATCGATCCCGCACTCGAAATCGTGGTGGCGCTTCAGGTGATGCTTGTGCTTGTAATCTTTGCCGCAAGTAATGCAGGTGTGCCTGAACGTCATGACGTACTTCGAGTCTGAAACAGAAAAAGATTCGCAAACGGTTAGCGCGACTTGACTTTTTTCCGACGATCGACGTGGCGCATATCGTGTGACGGTACCGGCTCGCTTCTTCCGGAACTTGGCTGTGACGAAAGCTAACACTCTTAAGTGCACACATACCGATTTACAATAAATTAACTCATTGGCCGTCATTCATGATCAAATCTTGCACTCAAGACCGTCTTGGGTTCACCTTCAAATGCTTCGTAGCCAATGAAATGAGCCGTTCAGCATCTGAGGATTAACTTGAGACGGCCTTAAATATAAGATCCAACTATGAATACCGGCCATTGTCTTGTAAAGATTCTTACTATATGAATCACAGTATGTACAATTGTAATATAAAATAAGAATGCGCGGCAGAACTCATCGTGTGAACATTTTAACAATGTTAATATGTAATTACAGAAGAGGTGAATTAGCCGCATCCTTTGTTAGGTTAAAATGTTCCAGCTGTTTTTACAAGATTAACCTTACAAAATTAACCTTACTTACCTCTTGACAATTATTAACGATCGCGATCTTTCCTAATTACCGACCCTTATCTATCGATTGTTTCAGTCGTCGTGAAATTCGAGGATTCGGTGTTTCACCAAGATATTGGTGAACGACGCAATCACGACAAAAGGAAGGTGGAACGAAAGGATTCAGCAGAGTTGAATTGTAAAGAATTTCGGGTGTCGGTCTTGGAATAAGTCGTTCATTTTATTAGGTTTCAGCCTACGTTCAGGATCTACTTTAGATCTGAGATGAGTATCTCAGACGATACTCGTGATATCTACCTTAATACATCGATCTAAATATGGAATGCTTAACTTTTCGGACCAACATCTGATAGAAAGAAAAACGAAAATATATCTATCAAAAGGTTCACATTATGTAGTACGCTTGCTTGCGAAATGATTTGAATACATTTTTTTCCGTTAAAATTAGAAGTGTTTTAAAATAAGGAGTGAATTAAATGACGACAATTGCAAGCTACTATTTAACGGCTTGCATAGTAATTGATTATGACAGAAGTCGAAATGTCAGCCAGGGAAAAAATATTTATATATAATCATATAAATTTATATGTAATTATATATAATTATATGATTTTTTATATATTTTTATATGTTTATATATGAAAATTTTGTTTCTATATATAATTACATAATTATACATATGTTCACACCAAATATAGTTTCATTGTTGATAATAACGAGAACAGATGTGTTTTGAGTGTGTCAATTGAAATTTAATTTAATTTTTGTTTATTTGTGACTTGAAACTTCAAGTTCCTTGCTTACTAACTAAAGAAATAAGTTTTTGTGTGAAAAATATTAATATTGTTTACAAAAATTATAGGTAAAACAAGTAATTTGATACAAGTGGTTAGAATGTTGCAGAGATAAAAACGCTGATTGACACCGAAAATTATTCTAATCGAGTAAACATAAAATTAGTAGCTTTTCTTCTCCTCTTAACCTGTATTCTATTAAAAAATCAAAATGTGTCTAATAATATGGCCTGAGACTGTGTAATCATTTTTATCCGGAAATATATACGGTATAAATATTACATCATTTATTATATTCTTATCTAATACTTATGTTTCTCCTGAATCTTCCGTTTCAGTTGTAACGTCCGATGTCTTATATCATTTTTAATTTAGCTCTTGTCATAATGAATTATCGCACAAGCACATAAGTAGTGGCCCGTAATCGTGACCATTTGATGTGCTTTTAACTTCGTCGGAAAAAAATATGTTCGAACCGTTTCGCAAACGAGTATATTCTCTAGAAGCGTAAGTAGTACTCTCTACTACTTTCTAGAGACGTTGTGAAGATACAGGACGTATTCTGCAATATCTATAAATATTGATCCTTGTCATGTCAATCCTTTTGCTACGAAAGACAATCGTACATATCTCCTATATAATGGGAAATTATTTATTACAATGTTATATTTATGAAAAATTTATATAAATGAAACATTATGTTCATAAAAATGTAATTGGGAAAATACATTATTAAAAATATAATATTATACATGACAATAATGTATATTAAAATTTAAAAAATCAGAATAATCAAGATCATTTCGAATATATATATATATACACACATATATCATATACATATATATATCATATGCATGTGTGTGTGTGTGTGTGTGTGTGTGTGTGTGTGTGTGTGTGTGTGTGTGTGTGTGTGTGTGTGTGTGTGTGTGTGTGTGTGTGTGTGTGTGTGTGTGTGTGTGTGTGTGTGTGTGTGTGTGTGTGTGTGTGTGTGTGTGTGTGTGTGTGTGTGTGTGTGTGTGTNTGTGTGTGTGTGTGTGTGTGTGTGTGTGTGTGTGTGTGTGTGTGTTTACGATAAATTTTTGCGCATAATCGTTCAAAAATTCACTCGAAAATAAATCATTCATAACGAACAAAACATTTCACTTTGCAAACGAAGTTAACTTAGCTTTAACGCTTTTAGTTTCACACGTGTCGTAGCGAAAGGATTAAAGGAATCACTCTCGCGGAAATGTTCCGAAGGCGTCAATGATGTCTTTTGCTTCCTGTTCAGTAATATATGTGAATCGAACGCATCGCGCTTGGACGTTCGCGCACCTTGGCTTAGAGCAACAATAGCTCGACAAGTATGAATATTCAAAAGCGTGCAGAACCCATGTTAAGAATGTCAAACATCACGGTGACAGACGAGCGACTGCACAGTGATGAATCTTTCAACAAAAAAATGATTTGGAGTCTTTAATAGTCGAGGAGGACGCACACCCTGTGCAATGCGCTCGACCGCAACGATGAACTAGAAGATGTTATCGTCGTTCTCAGTTCCGCGAGAACTGTCATCGAGATTTTCATTCTAATGTACATATATGTATATATATATATAACATTGAAAAGAGCGAGGGTCCGACGATACGAATCAAGAGGGCTCTCACGAGCTTCGATGTTGCTTGAGAACGACCGTGCGAGGCGTGAAGTTCTTCTTCATGTGCTTCATCATGTGCACCTGCAGATACGATTTGTAGGTGGCTCTGTAAGGGCAGAAGGAGCACTGATGCATCGGCTGCTTGCCGCACTCGTTCATCACATGCCTCCTCAGGTTCTTCATCTGGTGGTAACGACGGTCGCAGTTGTCGCAGGCGAAGCGACCTTGGCCACGACTTCGCCGCCGGTCCCTCACCGTGCGCGACAAGTAGAAGCTCATCTTCATGTAATCTGCAATCACGAATAGTGCTTTATTAATACCGGGATGAGCTCTCGGTGATTCTCCTCGCGGCGTGTTTCGATTATAAGAGAAAATAACTTCGTTAATCCCCCGCGATCCGTGTCTTTCTCTTGAAAACGACGAGTTTAGGATATATAGGGTAACGCAAGCCATCCCATCCGTCACATACTTGTAGTTTACTTTAATGTAAACAAAAGAATCTCCTATTTGCAAACACAAACCACACAATCTACGAGTATACGGCGGTTCTTGTACCTAACGACAAATTCAAGGTTCATTATATGATGCCTGTCGCTAGGTACAACAGTGTTTTTGTTCACACTGACCTAAACTACAAGTATATGACACCCTGTAAATCACAGACATCGACATCTCTGTCGTCGGCGAAAGCGCCTGCTCGAGAAGCGTGAACTTCGATACGCGATCAAAGATCGAACAGACGCGGTACATGTCACCGCGGTCCACCGAGTACACAGGCCGGATCGTAGAGTACCAACGTGACTGAAGAATAACGATAAGAAGAACGTGTATACACGTAAGATACAGATATGCGTATAAACGAGGAAAAGGAAGTTCACTCTGCCCCTAGTGACTCTAATTACGGGACAGTTGCGAGCACACGAGCATGCAGACATATCCCCGCAATGCATACACCGGGATTGTACTTTATCGTCTTTTTCTTTTTTTTTTAAAGAAGTCATTCTTGCAGTGAATTTATTCAGAACTTGTCCCACATTCATACCTTCTTTGCGCATCTATACCGATCAATTCGCAATTTTTTTCCTTCCCTAATTAACTGTCTCTTCTAACCCACCAAAGGGAGGGATGCTGTACACTTCTCTAGCAAATCTCTAGCGGATTTTCTAAAAGTCTGAGACGGCGCCAGCGGTTAGGAGAAATAATAATAAATACCGATAATCTTCTCGCTAAGTTAATTGTGTTTTGTCGAGATACGATCGTAAAGTAATTTACAAATTGTCGAACAGGAAATGCAGCAAACGACAGGTATCTAATTATTGTGCTACGTTTCTCTTCGACGCGTGTCGTCAGTTTCGGGTTTTGATTTTTTTTATTTACAGATTGCACAGTGTTCTTCCATATAACCTCATTAGAGTTTCGGCTTTTGTATATATATAAAACATAGAAACGCTTGGGTTGTGTTTACGAGCAACGGTCGATGACTCGTGAACTATACGTGAGACGCGCGATTCACACACAAACAATGTGCAACGGAGCGTAATACATTAATAATGTCTCGACAAAATATTGAGCTAATAATCTCACGTGTCTCAGCAGAATCGACGAGTTCGTATAAATCAAATGATAAGACAATATGCGATTTCAAAACGGAATCGTGTGGGCACGGACTGTCCGCAGAAAGAACACGAAATTATAATAACATTAATTAGACTAAACAGATTATTTTACCATCTCCTCACAGAGAAAAAATGAGAGATACGTGAAGTCGATACTACATCTCACAATGAGAATGAGAAACGAGAATGGGACGCACGATATACACAATAACGATACGAAGGAAACATCAAATTATTCACAATTTGACACTGATTACACAATTCGTTGTATCTCCTAACAAAATGGAGAGAAGAAATGAAAGTAAGGTCAGATCACAGAGAGGACATCACGTTAGAACTCAGCTTATTGCCGCGTTTATTCACGCCTTAGCGAAACGCTTGGCGATAGAAAAATAAAAAACGAAAAACGAGCTAGGACTCGACCGATCGTCAAGCAACCCGCTGTCGATGAGCGCGCGATTTCATGGTCATACGAAGAGATGCGGGTAAATAAATAACAAAGAAGCNAGAGAGAGAGAGAGAGAGAGAGAGAGAGAGAGAGAGAGAGAGAGAGAGAGAGAGAGATCACATCGGCGAATTAATCGGCGGCTCGGCGGCTACGGGTACGGCAGATTCGGATGAATGTGCATCACGTGTTTCGATATGCTGGCCTTGTACTTGCTGTGGTGCGAGCAGTAAGGACATTTGTGCTTCGGTGCCTTGCCGCACTCGATCGTGATGTGCCGACGCAGTGACCTCTTGACTTTGTAATACCGGCCGCAACGAGGACACCCAAAGCCCTTCGGCGTCGGCACGGCCACTCGCCAATCCGACTTGTTCTGCGGCACGATCAACGCCAAGGGATCGATCTCCTCTGCAGGGTCGAAATGCCACTCTGAAAGGGTTCGTGCGATCGGTTAGATGGTAAGGACGAAGCCGCGCACGGCTGGAATTCGCTAGGTGTACTCTCTAAATTTCTCGGGGTAAAATCTCCACTCGAAAAATGGAGTGACAGCCAAGCAATTCGAATGACTTTTCACTCTCATGAAATGCATTCTTCTACCCTGTGACGTAGAATGAATATCTTCACTCCCTGTCGTGGAGTGAAGTTCCATTAGAAAAGTGGAATAACTACTGAATCACCTGAGTTAGAGTGACTTTTCACTTTTATATAGAGTATATGCATTCTTTCACTCCGTATCTCTCTCGTGGAGTGAATATTTTCATTTCGTACCGAATCTTGCGTTTCTAACTTAGCCCTAATCTAATAGCGTATGTTATAAGCAATAAAATTATCGAACTTTACTATAATCGTCTCATGGCCATTGTGTCCCTTTTTTCGGTCCACAATTTTAGTTCACAATTAATTACACTTCATACAAAACATATATTTGAATACAAATATTTAAAAAGGCTATTTCATTCTCCTTTTAAATATTATCAATAATATTTAAAAAATTTTTCTCATTTACGTAATATATATACATATATATATATATATATATATATGTAATATTTCTAACAAAATATAAATGGAAGGGAGATATGGGAATCCTGTAGGGTTCGGTACTATAGACAATATAAAATTTATTTATCGATCAAGACGAGATGGCAAAATGCGAGATGCAGCAGATTCAAAATCCCTGAAGTTCTAAACTCAACCAGTGGCAAGCAAATTTTTCAAATACAATATAAATGGAATTGATTAAATGGCATATAATTAAAAAGATTTTTAGACAAAATCATTGACACCCGAAGAACAACGCAATAAAAAAGAATAAGGAAAAGTGTAAAAAAATGTAAATTAGAAAAATCCTTTTTTTTTTGGAGTAAAACATTCGCTTCAGTCGAATGAAACATTCACTCCACGGTTGGAATGGAATATTCATTCTTATGAAAAGTGAAATATCACTTCATTTCGTAACTTTCACTATCGCTCGGAGTGAAGTCTCACTCGTTTGGAGTGAGGTTTCACTCCAAGAAATTTAGAGAGTGTGTGTGTGTATTACGCGTCTCTCGCTCGCGCGAGCTCGTAAACATCCGGGTCTCCCCGTGGCCCATGCGGACGTTCTTCCGACAGCAACGTCGACTTCGTTTACGAAGAACCGCCGAATAATGTGCGGATAATGCGCCCAGGATGCGGCGGTATGTCAAGAATGTGATACAAGCGCGACTGCATCCTCTTCCTCGAGTAAAGCGTCGCGCATCGCGAGCGGGCAGAGATGAGTATTAGTCGTCGTAGTTGTGCACAAAGTTAATCCCATCGTGAACAGATAAATGGATAATAGATTGTGCACGACGCAAGCGTTGCGATGATCCGGCCGAGCGTTACAAAATTACAAACTGATCGATATATCCCACATTAAAATGTCTCAAATGAGATACCTGCAATGCTTGAAAGTAATACGTTACACTTTTTTTTCTTTCTTTTCTTTTTTGACTCTTTTAAGTGCCAAAACTCGCGGAAGGAATTTCGTTTAGCCGGCTTGTCGGTCTAGATCGATCTGTCGGTTGACGCGTCAATCTGAAAATCTTTCGCTCCGTTATAAACATGTGAATCAGTCCGAACGTTAATCGTCTTCAGCAAATAACTCCGCCACCGCTTGACAGAATGATCGTGAGATTGCCATCGAAAGAACAGTGTCACCATAGAGTCAGTCTACATACACACTTATACAAACACCCTTATTATCCTTAGTACAAACACGTCCAAGCAATCGTTACAATTTGCCGCGCGCGACAACGATCATCTCCGACATCAAGGGACATCGGGAGATGCGGTCTTGCACAATTTGCGCGCGAGAATCGCCGCGGCAGTCGCGAAAAATCCGCATACCCGCGGGCGAAGCCAAATGTCGGGCCGCGCGACATACAACTGTAAAGAACACGTCACGTGTGATTGTTTAACGAGCTGCACGCGTGGCATAGCGACTGAAACAAAACGCGACACGCATGATGGTCGATGTCTGAGGGCTGTCATAGAGAAGAAACCGGTTTATCATGGCTTTTATTGAAGTAAATAGATGTCTGCTATAATCATAGTCCCGCGTCTCGCGACGTATCTCGCGACGTTCACGCGCATACACGTAGATATTTTTTTCGTTTTTTTTGTTTTCATAACGATCGTACAGCAAAGCGTATTATTATTCACACAAGCGTGCAAGAGTTCCTATGCCTTCTTTATTGTCGATCGTGCGTGAACAATTATAAATTTATTTCGTATCCTTCGTGGCTCATGTGTGTATGTGTGTGTGTGTGCGTGCGTGCGTGCGTGCGTGCGTGCGCGCGCGCATGTGTATGGGTGTGTGCGGACGTTATTCATCGACGACCTCCGAATAGAAAAACGCACTCTATATCCGCTACAATTAACGTCGCAAAAAGCTATTTGTAGTGGCTAACGTGGATACTTTCATTTAAACGGATGACGATTGTTAAACAGGCTTCCTCCGGCACAGAAGTTCAATGTACAAACGATGTAATTGATCCAATGTCGACGAACGCGCTCGATGTTACCGGCACTATAAATTACTAACATTCGTTGAACTTTGGCATTGAAATTTTCGGCCCGACGTGCATTCGTCTCTCGTGATAATCACTCAATTGCAACTGCTACAGCAATTGGATTCGACAATAAGATCCAAATACGCAACGATAAAAATCAAATACATATTGGCAGTCGACCAAGGCTCGAGGTGTCTCTCATGTATTTTTTTTCCTAAGAGTATTTCTTTCTCCTTTAAAATTCCAGAAGAATATATTAGGCAGTCTAGGAACGCGTCTTAATCGATCGATCCGTTGAAGCTTAAAATTCAGCCGAAATTTTATGAGAGACTGTTGATATGAAAATTAAGAAGCAACTCTGATACGTGTACTCTCGATTATTCATGGGCGGTACAGAGCTACTGTTCACTCATTAATGCATTATGCAGAAATATAAGCATATAAAACAGAAAGGAAACCAACATTGACAGGATAGGCATGCATGCGATGAACATCATCCGTTGATTGTACACGTTTATGAAAAAAAACAGGCTTTGCGTCTGTGCACTATCGTTTAACAACATATCGAATATCAATTCACTATATCAAATATCAAAGAATATAATAATACTATAAAATGCAAATTGCAATCTCTTCTCTTCGGGGAATACAGAACGGTCTCGGCGGAATCCCAAGATTGAGCGCGAATAAATATCTGCACAGCTCGGAATATCTCCCTGACGGCTTCGGCTGATGGTGTGAAATTGCGATGGTATATAAAAATATATGGACTATTGGTACGTTGTGAAAAATAAACAGTCATTAGCGGTATCATATCGGACCCGTTTTCCGCTCGCGGGGAAGATAATAGAACGACACTATGAAAAGTGTATATACGTTAAATACATATACTATTCGGCTGTGTTAATTGGAAGAGATATATGTGTTATATATCGGCGGGCCGTGGCGCAAAAGCCGCGTGAATATACAAGGTAATTCAGAATCACGCGACCACCGCGTATCTATAAAACTCACGAAAGTTGCGCGATACAGTTCAACGATTAATCCAATCTAATACTTGGAGATAATTTTCAATAACAATAATTCGTAATAGTTATAACTTCCAATTAATATTGTTAATAATATTACTATATATATGTGTATATTAAGCATGTATTAAATATATATATGTCTTCTTTACTATATATATTAAATATATATTAAATATAATTATTCATATTATATATTAATTATAAATGTACACAATATACTATTAAATATATACTCTTACAACTTCCAAATATACATAACATTATACTTTCTTAATACTGCAATCGCAGAATCAAACCGATACGCATTTTACAAAATCGCGAGTAGTGCATGAAAGAAAGAAAAAGAAGAGGACACGCGGATTCCGAATCACCCAGTACAAAAACATTACACATATATACGTGCGCGCGCACGAAATATCTCGTCGAGATGCGCGCGATTTCGACGGTTTCGATCTAATTGCCGGTGTCCAGCGAGGAGATCTTGTTGCCATTGGACATACGCCGCATGGGCTCGGCGTAGTATTCGTTCAGCAGTTTCATGTGCCTGCCATTCAGATGGGTGTTCAGGCTCGATTTATGCTTCGTCCTGTAAGGACACAAGGGACAGTGGAACTTGGGTTCCACGCCGCACTCGTGCTTCAGATGCCTCGCCAGACTGGAGTAGTAGCTGTAGACCTTTCCGCAATTCTTGCAGGGGTAGGTCACCCTCTGACAATTCAGGTAGCCCACCGAGCGTGTATCTGGAAAACAGAAGAATACGAGGGTGTGCGGTTAGAGAAATTCGTCGACACTCGCCGCGACTCTCCCATTCGCAAATTCGTGCATAGCGTGCGGATAAAGGAGGGCAGACTCCCATCGGCGATGTCTAAGTATCTAGTTTGGGTATCTGCTCGTCGTATAGATCGCCTCTGGCTAGAAGCACGCGCTACACGCCACCCCTTCGCACAGCTCTCGCAAGCGTACTTCCGCAGTACGAATACATCTCATGCCAAATCACATCACGTGAGAGAGTCAGCACCATTCGCGTCATTTTCATTTACATCACAATTAGTCTTGCCGGACGATGGTATGTACAGCGGAAGAGCGAGAGGAATGTTGGGAAGGAAAATGATACACTCAGCGTTGGGTATATTTATTGATTCTGACACATAACCCAACACAAGTAACTTCGTGAATCGATCGTTCGTATGTTCGATCGTTCCCCAAAAATTCAAGCGTGTCTACAAAGTTGCCAACAAAATACAAAAACGGCAGAATTCTATTTGCAAGGAGGAAGTTGTTGAAAACCCTTAACGTGCAAGCCCGAGTTAATTAAGACAGCGCTTCATTTTATATTATGCGTGTGCCCGTGCTAACTCGGACATGAGAAAACAAAAATGCACTAAAATTACGATATAACACAATATTAAACAATTATTTTAGTACTTTTACGTTATTTTTCTAGTCGTAGAAAAATCTTGCATTAAGGAGTTGTAACTTTGAGTTTATATTTTTACACTCACCGAGATTAAAATTGTCAAATGTGCTCTCTCTATGTTACGTGTGGCAGGAACGTAAGATTGCAAATAGAATTCTGCTGAAGATCTTGTCGCGAGGATCGCAGATCTTCTGAAACCTTTACAATCCCTCCAATGCATTTCGTGGACATCGCTTCTTTAATTTTAAAGCGTGTATAAATCACCATTGACGGTTGCATTGGAAATTAAAGTGGCGTAGTCCGGTCGACTTTGGTTGGCACGTTGGAGATCGCCGTTTCTGCTACTTTGCTGATCACCTGTGGTTTACGCAGAACATTTAGCCACGCGTCCGACTAGGAATGTTTTGCGGCGGTAAAGTTTGCGACGGAGTGGACATCGGTAACACGCCGAGCGTATCGGAACTGCAACAAACACATCCATAACAGTTAGTAGGGATTCCTTGATCAATTCGGACATTCCCGACTGACGATCAGTTTTTCCATCCGCCGCTTCCCATCTTCCCGTGTTTCTTTAATAAGTGGATTATTAATATGGACCGGCCTTATTCAATATCTTCGCCGTAATCCATGTAAATCGAATGAAATATTGATTGTCCAAGATTGATTTATTCAGTTACATCACAGAATACAAAAGTCACTATATTTTTATTTTAACATTTTTTTTATCTTTACAATCTTGAGGTATCTTAAAAATTTTACAAAACAATATAACAGTAACATACAGTATAATGTATCACAATAATTAAAGAAGCAAAATTTTTCGTGAAAAATTGTATTTCATTTTCTAAATTTTCTTTTTAATTTTATCAACATCCCAGGCCATTCTTTATCGCATTATTAATTATTGCATTATCGCATTATAAGTCATAAGTCGTAGTCATAAGTCATAATCACGCCATGCGAATCATCGTGTATAATGACCATTCGTTCCAAATGTAATCCTAACATTCAGTTTCGGTGCACGAAATAAGAATAAAATGGCGTATTCGATCGAAAAATAGATCTCTTTATTCGTTTAAGAAGATAATTTCCTCGTTATTTCAAAAGTAAAAAAAATAGCTCCATATCTTTCACTAAACCCTCGCGTACGCTTTACATTGCCTGCTATAGGTCCTCCGCGTAGAATCGGGGATGAGCTTTTTGCTGTATCGATGTAAACCCGATTTGGATATAGAGTACATCTCCGCGGCTTTTCTCAGAGACATCCCGCTGACAACGGCTTCAATCGCCTTCATCACATGTTTCGGCACTCCTCTCATATACTTCACGTTTCGTAAGTGCGTTTCGGAAGTACGCGTTTCTGAAACATGAAGGAAACGCGAGTAAAGTACACGTATTTGCGCGGACTCGAACACTGGGAGGTGACGAGTCCGACAGAGTCCTCTTCTTCACGCGAAATTTTTCGCGGGGAAAAATTGATGAACAATTAACGATTGATGAGATAATCGAGACGCTCGGCAAACATCAAATCGAGAAGCACTCGCTTCAAACAATTAAAAAGAACGTTGTTGTTACTCCATCTCCTTTGATACATTTGTCACAATTCCATGTGAGCTCAAGAGAGAAGATGTGGATATCCTGGAAAAATCGTATATCCCTCTCCTTCATTCGTTCGATTACATAATTAATATTACGAATTATAAATAACAAATTCTTATGGATTCCAAAGATTCGTTCACATGATACCATAAGCAATATAAGTTCCAAACAATTAAACAATACGAATTCATGTAAATTTGTACATATAGAAACGACACATTTCTAAAGCAGGTTCTGGACTGAAGCAACGAGTCAGCAAGAGTGTTAAGTAAAATGCGTAGACATTTTATTTAAGAACATCAATGAAACTCTCAAACATTAATATCATATATATATATATATATATAACTTTGTTATTAATATATTATATTAACCCTTTGTTGACGGGTCCATCTGGCGAGCGAATGTCGCTAAGGGCGAGAGATATCGCGGCATGCAGCCAAGAAAATCTACTAAAGGAAGATAAACAATACATCAAGAAGGTCTGAGTTTCTTCCAAAAAAAAAAAAAAAACGTCCCGTAAGTACTACATTATGGTGCTATGTGTTTATTATATTATGATACTGCGTGCCTTGTCGCTCAAAACGATAGATAGGCATGGACGGCTATTTGCCGACACGCGTCCGCAAAGGGTTAATAATTAATTTTTAGTTATTATATTCTAATGTATACAAAATAGAGTATTCAAATAATGTCGAGGGCCGTGTGATAACTTTCCGGGGCCTGATACTAATATATTATTATAATATTTTTAGGGGTTCCTCTCTTATAACTACACATAATGAAATTTCAACGCACCCGAAATATGAATTAAATAAAATTTGTTTCTAAAAGATAACACCTAAATACCACAGAGCATTCCTAATCTACATTACACGCTTACATTCCGACTCTACATTATTACATTTTTATATTTTAAATTTATAGAAAAGAGGGACTTATGAGATAGCATATATAAAATAGGGCCCTATTTCGACTGGAATGTTTGTACGTATAGAAACAATATGTTTCCAAACTGTAAAGGGAGTTCTGATCCGAAAGAGTTAACAAAAGTGAACCCCTTTCGGAGCCACCACTACGCTATCGCTGTACAAGAGAACAAAACGCGTACATTATATGACAGATGGAACTCGCACAAAGATAGAGCAGAGATTGATCTTCAGAACATAATTTTATTTCGATTTTGTTTTGTCATTAATTTTTACACACAGAAGCTTTGCGAGCGACCTCTACAGTGGCCATTCGTGTACAATGACAATTTAACAAGCGGCCATTATAGTGGCCATTCGTTGCGAAAAAGGTTAAGTAAACTGATGCTTCCACATGACTAGTTTCAAGTCCGTCTTTGGATAATTGCGAATGTATTTTGGATATAAAAGTCATCACGAAGAAGTCGATCGTCATTAAAGCAGATGTTTCCTTTTCATGTGCGCTTTCAAATTCCATGTGCGATAGGTCTTATAGCTGCAATATGAACAACATTTCTGAACGCAGGAATCTTTCATGTGCTTTACAAGGCGAAGTTCGGACACATATAACTTGCCGCAATTGCAGCATTTATAATTTTCAATCCACAACAATTTTCCAGACGGTTCCAGATTGTTAAGTTTATTTTCGCAATTGATGTGGCTTGTAGACTCGCTAATAGTGCCTGTAATCGAAATCACACAGTGACAATTCTGATAAATATAAAATATATAATTTTAACATTCAGCTTTGGTATACGAAATAAGTACAAAATGATGTGTTCGATTAAGGAAAATCTTATTCTCTCGAGAAGATAATCTTTCTCGTTATCTCTAAGCTAAAGTATCGCCCTCTACCGCTCAATAAACAATCGCGTATACGTTACACTGAATTCTGCGCGTCTTTCGTGTAGACTTAAAGATAAATTCTTTCCAGTTGAAATATAGAGTCGATATAGATACAGAGTATACCTGCTCTGCTTTCTTCAGGGAAGAAATCCCGATGTTGATGGCATCGAGGGCTTCCGTCATATTTTTCGGAAGGCGTGTCCGATATTGACCGCTTTGATAACGAGTTTTTCGTGATCATTTCGGAAAAGAACGTTCCTGAAGCGGCCATTCCTGAAGTGGGCGTTATTGAAGCGGACGTTTCTGAATCGATAGTTT